CAAAGTTCCTTGAAGGTTCCCAAAGACAATTCTAGGTAGATAAGTACTTAGAAAGCCAAGTGTAAATGGTTCCTAGAGTGCGCAAAATCAAAGTGGCGCAGCAAAAACGTGGTCTTGAAGCTTGCCATGAGGCAAGGCTATCAAGGTTGGGGAAGTAATTCCCGAGTGTTCAAAAGAAGGGCTTTGAACGAAAGTCGATAGTTAAAGACTTTTACACTTATGCATGAACCATGTTACTGGCCAAATGACTTGCTAAATGAGATTGGCAAGTCGAGGGAAAAAATACCGTAGTTGAAGGTGCTAACTTCAAAAAGGGTGGCCCAAGATCAAGCATGAAGGAATCCATACATGATCACAGATATGTCAAGTGAAAGGACTTGGTAGTGCGGAAGAACTAAGTTTCTAAACGGTGATTTATAGCGCGTTTCAAGTATAAATTGGTGCACCAGCGTGGGGAGTCACGCCAGGCATCCTGTATGATGCTATCCGTAGATGCATATACGGAGGTTAGGTTCGAGTCTCGACCCTCTAGTGCTTGGGTTCACATCCCAATTCACTAGGGTAGGGTGATGGTTTGGAATATGAGGACACTTATTTTTCGGTGGTCATGGACTCTTAGTAAGGAAACTAACTTGGGCACACCGCCAAGCAAGGGATGCCCCAGAGTTATAATGCATAGTTAGATTTACTTAGTGTGAAAGTTTGGCATATCTAACTTGGACACTTTGGTGCATGTGGCACCAAGGACATGGTGAATGAGATGGAGACACCCAGTCTTAGTTGCTATGGACCCTTGCCCGGAAGGGCTGACTTGGGCGCATCACCAAGTGTGGGGGATGCCCTCGGGGTCATGGTCATTAACTCAAATATCTAGAAGACCTAGTACCTATTGGCAAACCTATTAAGGTGTCAAGATTAAATCACTAGGTGATCTTATGACTAAAATAAAGATAAGGTCCTTGTGAGGTTAAAGAATAAGGTTCCTAGTTCAAAGTGTTGATTTGAACTATTGATGATAATGTGCCTTGGTCAAGATGACTAAGTGGGAAGGACATTTAAGGAAAATGAACTGTGTCAATGCGATGGTATAGTGAGTCCGAAGAAAGTAATATTTATAAGAGACCCATCAGAGGGTCACAAAGTGGGTCATGGATAGAGCCCATAGCAAAAAATGCTAAAGAAACATATTAGGGGTGAATACCCTTTGGACTTGGCAAAACAAAATCCTTGCTTTGGAACTGAAAGGATATCTTGAGAATGGAGGTAACGATTCTATATTGTTGGGTGTAACAATCAAGGATAGGAGCAAAAGACTAATGGCTAAGAAAAGAGTCATGGGAATCATAGAAAAAAATCCAAATGGCAAAGTTAGGCCAAGAACACTAATGTGTTGGGTGCTAATGGATTGTGGGAAAGGCAATCAAGGTAGGAATTCTTATATGTTTCTTGCTAAGTAGACTTAGCCTAGTTTGAGAAACTATTGTCATTAGTTTACACTTGCTAGTATCAAAAACCCCCACAATATTGAGTCTAGTTCCTCAATATCATTACATGGTAGCTTACTGTATCTACCAAACACCTTTGGTATCATGCCCAATATGTTGGTTCCATTCTGGATCCATGTATTATTTATGGTTAGTGTCTAGATTAGTGCAAGAGGCATATCTACGGAATGTAAAGAGTGCTTTGAACCTTATGGTGTTGTTCTTACTTCTAGATTCACAATCTAGTGCCATTCCATATTTAATAAATTTCATACTTGTTCTAGAGACTAACTCCTGGTACTAAGGGAGGCTTAGGGTGAAAGCCCAAAGTATCCAACTTCTAGTCTGCCCTTTTTTAGCACACACTTGGCACCACGAAGTTTTGGCATCATTGGTGAGAAAGGATTGTGCGCACACAACTTTTGTACAATCATCTATATCTGCTACTATAAAATAATTTTCCATATTATGACCTAGTCTTCCAAAACCTAATAGTCCAATATGCCTCTAAAATTGGGTGGTTTCGAAAGCTTGAACTTTGAAACTCATACAATTGAGGGTAGTTGTAAAAATTTATCATCCTCAGAACTTGAAAAAGAGTCTAGTTGCTTAGGTTTAATTAGCTTAGTTGCCTCAATTTCTTTCTTCCTCTTTTTGTTCTCCTTCTTCAATTTGTGAACTTCCCTTTGTAAATTCTTGATTTCAATGTTTTGAGTCGTATGCTGTAGTGTTGCAACATCAAGCTCTTCCTCTTTTAAGTCAGCCTCAGCCTCTTCTATAGCATCTCTAGCAAGAGTTTCCTCCTCTTGATTTGCCCATCTAGAGTTTTCAACATCATCAGCACAGTTCCTTTTCACCATCTCGCTAGCTGCATGCATGCCTCTATCAGTAATTAAACATGCATACAACATTTTTACCAAATGGTGCAATCCTATTAATCCTATATAAATCACTTCAGATTTACTAGAAAAGTCTCTACATAAGCAACTTGAGTTAGAATTTCTAACAAAATTTGGATAGGAATCATTGAGACAAATCCTTTAATTCCAAATGTAGCGCATTTGAATTTGGAGCTGAACTCCAAGCCCGCAGTGCTACAAAACTAGGGTCCAGTACAATCCCACAAGCACTAACTCCATGTATCCAGCATCTGCATGCAAAACAATGTCAAATAGTATCTGGCACAATTTTGGTATACCAGTGGCTTAATATAAGGAGGAGGGTACTCTACCAACTAGAGCAGCATGAAGCTTGAGCTTAGACCCAAGCCAAATGCAGAATAAAGAGTGACACAACCCAGTAGAAGCCAAACTAATATCTCAGGTGGTTGGACATGCATTCCAACCACCATCCCTATGATACATTTGGAGCCCCCTATAGCCCCTCTCACCTATGCCCCCTTGAAGAACACATGCTTTGGGCTTTCACCCCAAGCCTCCCTTAATACCTTAATATCAAGAGTTAATCTCTGGGATAAGCGTGAAACTTACTAAATATGGAATGGTGCTAGATTGGGATTCTAGAAGCAAGAACAACAGTATAGGGTTTCTCTACATTTCGTAGATATGCCTCTTGGGCTGATCTAGACACTGACCGTAAATAGTATATGGATCCAAAATGGAACCAACATATTGGGCATGATAACGAGGGTGTTTAGCGGACACGGTAAACTACCATGTAACGATATTAAGGGACTAGATTCAATATCATAGGGGTTCTTGATACTAACAAGTGCAAACCAATGACAAAAGTTTCTCAAACCAAGCTAAGTCTACTCAGCAAGAAACACATAGAAGTTCCTACCTTATGTTTATCTGATTTAAGTACAGGGCATTGACTAATTTCTCAACTAACTCAAGTAGGAACTATAAAGGAAACCAATTGACAAACATGAGAGTGTCCGTAAGGACTAGCTGATAAGTATCTTTCAATGACCAAAATCACATTCGCAACACTAACAAATTCAGTTTCTTTGCTCATGAGGGTTAAAGCTTCTAGCTTCTCTCTCTATATCCCTGTGGGCAAGGGCGTATCACACTTTGTAAGCTGGGTGACATCTAGAGTAGCAAAGGTGGCTAACTCTGTTAGTCATTTCTATGTTGGTGACAGTTGAAAGGTGTCTAAGTTGGTAGTGCATTTGCATTAGAGAAAGAGGTTACTTCATAACTTATTTAAGTTGATGCATTTCTCAGAAAGTGTGAATATTAAAAAAAAATTCTAGAATTTTTTCCTTGGCAGTGATCTAAACTAGAGTATCTGTCGATAAAGATGTCGATCTTCCCTAAGGGGGGAAGAGTGTAGTGAATATGACTATAGGTATCAAAAATTACTTATTGGCTAGTCTTTTTGAATATTTTTTCCTTACTGCCATGACTGTAGGAGGTTAGTATTGTTGGACCCTTTATCAATCTTTATTATTCAAGTGTTAGTAAACTAGGTTTAGCATCTATACTTAGCTATATGGACATAAGGTAAGAACTCCTATATATTTTTTGTTGAGCATACTCAACTTGGCTTTTAGTTCTCTTTTGTTTTATCTTGCACTGGCTTAACAAAAACCTTTGCTTAACAAGAACCCTCGCATATTGAGACTAGTCCCTCAATATTGCTAGATGATAGCTTACCATGTGTGCCAAACACTTTCACTATCATATCTTATGTGTTAGTCATATTAGGTCTCAATTGCTATTTATGGAAGTGTCTAGATTTGCTAATTTAGCATATCTATAAAATGTAGAGATTTTCCTGAATACAATGATGTTAATATCATGTCCAATTTCACAATCTAATACTATTCCATATTTAGTAAGTTTCAAGTTAGACCTAGAGACTAACTTTTAGTACTAATGGTGAAAGCCTAAAACATGTGTTCTTGAAGGAAGGGAAGAGGGGATATGGGGGGTTTTAAATGTATAGTAAGGATAGTGGGTAAGTCGGGTCAGGTATGGCTGACTAACCTGAGGTATAGTCTAGCTCCTGCTTGTGTGTCTGTCTTTGTTCTGTGTTCAGCTTAGGTTTAAGCCCAAATTCCACACCATGCTAACTAGTGGAGTACCTATATCCTCGCATAAGCCATTAGTATGCTAAAATAGTGCCAAACTTCATTTAGCTTTGTTTTGCGTGTTAGTCCTGGCATTGGGATGTTGGATGCTATAGGATTGTTCTAAGTTACTCCTTGCTTTTATCCCTTCACTCCTTAAGCTGTATATTTGGGAGTTACTCTATGCTCCAATTTTTTTACTCCTTGGCTCCATGCTTAAAAGTTTAGTTTCGTTTTTTCATTTAATGACCTAAGGCTTTGAAACTCGAGGTCCACTCCATTATCCTTGAACACATGGCATGTGGCATGTAGCATGTGACACATGGCACATAGAAGGTTTAGGTTCCACTTCATGGTTATTCTATGGTAAATCATTATAGGATAAAGGATGAAAACCACATGCATTACATTGGTGTTGGTTAATGTCTTCAACATTATTATTGTAAGTGGAATGTGTATGTTTGTGTCAAATAGCATTCAATTTCAACAGTTTCTTCAATTATTAGGGTAGATAAATAACAAAATATTTTTACTAAGGGATACAGACAGTATAAAGACTGACCTTTTGGATGCAACTGAGTGTTGCCAATTGATGTGTGTTACCTGATATATTGTCTTCTCACAAGACTTACATTTTTGCTACCTCATTGTGAACACCATGTTTCCTCCACAAAATTGGGATTTGCAAGGCGTGCACTCCAATTGATCAGCCCAGGAATTGTGGAAGAGCGTGGCACCTCAGATCTGCAAGCTTGAATGGAGAATCATCCTGTCACATGCTGGCCCAAAGAGGAGAAAACCCTAGCCCCAGTATAAATTGTGGGAACATGGAGCCTCACTGGCTTTTGGATCCAGCTCATCATTCCTCCACATTACATTATAATGAGGACTTTTTCAGTGTGTTTCAGCGAGTGGAATCTTTCCTAAAGATCAAAAACTTTGCTGCTCGAACTGTAAAAACAGGGAGTTTTTGGTTGACCCAACAGCAAAAGGAAAACTTCAAAGCTCTTGTGATCTTTGGAAAACTTCCAAACTCTCGTGATCATCTCCAAGCATTGGAAATCTTCCAAGATCTTGAGAACATCATATGGATGGAGTAGCGGATTTCCACTCTTCTTCTTTTCCAGCTTCATGGACCCCAAGATGTAACAAAGATGTGAGGACTATAAGCTTTGGTATCTGGCCAGGAATCCTCGATGATAAAAACCCCTGCTTGTCACTCCAAATCCAGTGACACTCATCACTTTGCCAACGAATCTCCATCACCATGAAGCATCTCATCCTGTCCCTGTCCATCTTGCTCACTTCCTTGGCAACTTTGGCAGCCATATCCACCAGTCCATTGCTGCTGAGCACACTGTGGAGAAAGCTCTCCTCGTCTTCCTGGATCACCACCGAAGAAAGCCACTCCATCTTTGGAATGATGTACCACTTGATCGTCATGTGCTCTGGAGCTGATGCAAAAGTTTGGAATCCTTCCACATCCATCCACCAGCCTTTCCAGTGCCTAGAGTTCACGGTTGAGTCTCCATATGCACTGCCTCGAAAGTCACTGCTTGTTGTGCACAGGAACTTCCACAGCACAGGCTCATAGAAGAGGTAGCCATGCAGCAGAGCTCTTGAGCTCACTCGGATGTCAGCACTTCCAAAAATCAACTCTATTGTCCTGAGAGCTGTAGCTTTTGTCGGCAGAGTGAGCTGGTTCTTGAGTCAATTCTTCCTGTCTGCCAGAGTTTCTCTGACGTGAGGCCCCAGAAAAAACCCGAGAAACCGCAGAATTCCACTAAGAACGCACGCATTCCTTGCTGTGTTGAGGGAGAACAAAGAGCACAAAGATGTACAGCTTGCATTGGGCTTGGTTTGCTGAACCTGTCCCAGCTGAGCTGCCAATAGATGCTAACTTACATACAGTCATGTGGCCCTGCAAAAGCAAAACACATGAGCGATCCCCTGTCCTTGTCGCTGCTGGGCAGTGGCTGCCTCCGCTCCTCCACATACCCTGGAGCATGGGCATCCATCTTTGCTGCTGGGCGGTGCCCCCTCTCCCGCTTCCCCTAGAAACCCCGGGGCTAGGAGGAGCTGTGGCAAAAAAGGAGAGCTTTTCTATCCCTCCCAGGCCATGCAAGCAGATGGGTGTCACTCACACCTCCTCCCCCGGCCTGGGCCATGCCGCACGCCCACAGGCCGGCCCAAAACCTCACAAAAATATTTCAGAAGGGTGCAGATATTTACCGGGTTACATCACATCTGACGGTGTTGATTGGCCAGATCCAGCAGCCCACAAATTTTGACAATAGTAGTAAACATAAGAACTATCTAAATCAAGATGTCGAGGAGGGCCAGCTTCAAATGATCACAACGAGCGAGAGTGATGCTGGATTAAGAACACTATCAGGACCAGGCGTTTGCGAGTAAGATATAAGCTGCTCCATTATCTGAGATAAGTGTCACCTGAGAACCATGTCTCACATTCTTCTGATTCTTACACGCCGCCAGAAAGCACGTCCAGTCCAAATCCTCAGGGACAAACGGCATGCTTTTGATTAATTGCTCGGCATCGCCCAAATGCCCAGCTCTTCCAAAAAGATCAAGTATTTCACAGTAGTGCTGCTTAGATGCTTTTATATTGTAGTCACATTGCATTGATTGGAGGTAGTGGAGGCCATTGGCAACACTCCCATGATGCGTACTTGCTAACAAAACCTCTACAAAAGTTATCTCATTTGGCTTTTCAGTCATAGGTATGTGATGAAAGAGTTCCACAGCCTCCAAGAAATGTCCTTTCTGGGCATAAGCTGCAACCATGGTGTTCCAAGATACTAAATCGGACACGGGCATCGAATCAAAAACCCGTCTTGCCGTGTCTCTATGCCCAGATTGGGCATATGCAAGCAAAATTGTATTCCAAGATACTGTGTCTCTTTCTACCATTTGAAAGGAAAACCTTAGAGCTTCACGCATATAGCCTTTACAGGAAAATGCAAGCAGCATCGAATTGCAAGTGACCTGGTCATATCTTTCCATTTGCTGAAATATGCAAAAGGCCTCTTCCAAATGCCCGGCTCGGGTATATGCCGTAAGCATTGTTGTCCACGAAACGGTATCTCGTTCGCACATTGAATTGAAAACAACACCCGCTTCGTACAGTTTTGATAATTCTGTATACCCGTAAAGCATTGTATTCCATGAGAAAAGATCCCATTCAGGCATGGAATCAAAGACGCACTTCGCATCACCCATATGCCCCAGTCTAGCATATGCAAAAAGCATCTCATTGTACGATACTATACAACGCTCTTGCATGGAAGAAAATACGATCTTGGCTTCTTGCAAGCCGCAGTTTTGTGCGTTCACGGACAGAAATGTATTCCAGGAGATTCTGTTCCTTTCTGGCATGGTATCGAACACGTTCTTTGCTTCATGCAGATGCCCGTTTTGAGCATATGCCGTGAGGATACCAGTCCAGGAAACTATGTCCCGCTCTGGCATAGAATCGAATATGCGCTTAGCCTCCAGGACTAATCCGGCTTGAGAAAGTGTGCGAATCATAACCGTCCATGATACCATGTTGTATTCCGGAATTCTCTGAAAGATTTCATGAGCTTTGTGGATATGTCCGGATTGGGCATATGCCGAGAGCATAACCACCCATGTAATGATGTTACGCTCTTGCATATAATCAAAAACTTCCTTGGCATGGTTTAAATCTCCACAACGCACAAAGGCACTCAGCATTGCTGTCCATGAAACAAGGCAGTGATACGGCATGGCATCAAATACTTTCTTTGCCAGGTAAACATGCCCGTTTTGAGCATATGCTGTGAGCATAAGAACCCAAGAATAAGAATCTTTGTGCTTGATTGCGTCAAACATCCGGCGTGCAGCTTCAACGCTTCCACATCGCCCATACAACTCCACAAGCTTGTTTTTGAGAAAAGAATCTCCATTTCTCTCCTCCAAAAGATTTTCCCGAATAAGTTGAGAATGAATGTTTTGGGCCATGGAGAGAGATTTACATGATTTGATGATCGCAATTCCATCGGCTACCTTCATTCACATCAGACTTTTCAGAAAAATTTTGAAAACTTGAGACATTTTAAGTTATAATTCTGATTCGCTGCGCGGCTGCGCGCTTGGTGAGGGCGGCGGGGAGCAGCGCGCGGCAAAAACAAAAAACCTGGATGAAGAGAGAACCCCGCGAGGAAGAAAAATGCTTGAAGAGAAAGAAAAAGTAGAAAGGTTGGCGATGAAATTGCTCGTGTGAACGACCCCTTGCTACCAATGTTGCCAACATTGCGTGCCGCTCTTGGTGCGCAATCACTGCACTATTGTCCCCTCGATCACAAGAACTTACAAAGCTATACTGTTTTCCAGAATACGTACGTTATCTCGAACCGATAGACCGGCATCAAAGTTCTGTTTCTTTGTGGAGGCAAAGTCCCAAAAGGAAAGAGGATGCAGGCTTGTCACTCCTGTGTCCAAGCTCTACATCACGGCTCTCGGAGTTTGACCATCAGGCCAACAGCGATTTCAGAAATCATTTACACCTGACAAGAAACCAAGAGAAGATCTATACTCCAAGAGGCCCTGCTCTATCATAGCATCGACTGTGTCATGGAGCTTCTGGAGCTTCTTGTATGGGACAGTACCATCCGGGTTGGCCACAAGCTGCTTGAGAACTGCGAGGAACGTGTCGCGTGTCCACTTTTCATCAGCACTCCGTGCGAAAGATCTTTCATTGAGTGTGGCACAGGCGCGGACTTGCTTCTTGCTTCATATGAGTAGTCAAGCATCACATCCCAGAGAGCCTCCACCCTTGGGCCCCTCTCGGGCCGGATCTGTGGGAGAGCCTTCGCTCGTCTATATAGAAGAGAAAACTAATGGATGCCAATCTGGAAGTTTCTTATGAATTGGAGGACTGTGATCGCTTGGGTTATCACTGGGAGCTTCTCTAGATGGCTACATGAGCGGCTATACAACCGTCTTTATCGACGAAGCCAGCCTTCTTGGACGCAGGTGCCTCGTGAGGTTGACAAGGTGCTGCGGGAGCTCTCCAGACACCATCCCCGTGCTCTGCCTACGTTGGAACTCTTGAATCACTGCCGTCTTCTCTGAGCCCTTAGGACCGACCACTGTAACCAGCTTACTCCCGCAGCCACTTGTCCGGCTTCACTATCTCCAAGATTTAGATGATTCCGTGTATATGCTAAAGTGTTTAGTAAACCCACAAGAAACTGAGAGGAACGAATCGCAAAGGATTTCTCACGGGGCAGACTTGAAGAATCAGCATTATCAAGTTAAATTGTTATAAATAAATCAAACCTAACTTATACAACATAAATATAAAATTAGAAGTGGGATTTGAATCCAACCCTCATCCTCTTAGCCATCTTCTTGGAATTGTATAAGCAATGCTTGATTGCATGAAGTATTCAACCACTTGGCAATGCATGCAGACTTAGGCCTCAGAGATAACACTCTGAGAAGAAATAGTAGATAAATATTGCTCTTGCCACTCTTGGTCGAGAGAGCACAGGACAGCGCGTCCATCCGAGTGGCCAATCCTTCGCCAAGATAGCTTCGTTATAGGACGCAAGCACCCGGCTCGGACTTCCTCCAGCTACGCTTGGAATCCCATTCTCTGCTGGAACGAACACAATCTTACTAAGTTTATCACAGAATCTTTGGATGATGCCGTTGTTGAGAAAGATTTATCAGTGGTAGAACCAGCATTCTTTAGTGCATCCTGAACATGATCAATGGATCTATGGGATCAACAATAATGACAACAACAACATCAAGAAGAAGTCTCCCCAACATTAGGGATAATCCTCTCAATCCATGGTAACCAAAAGTTTGGTAAACCCTTTTAGATTGGTTAAAAGAGGGTTTCTTCTGGGTTAGTGCATCAGAATATTCTCTAACAGATAGGTATTTAGCGGTCTTTGCAGCTGAGGGCCACGGCAGTGCTGTTTCATCCGAGTCCAAGCAAAGCCCAGTTCTTCGATAATTACAATAGCTTCACATACAACATTTGCCAGGTTTTTTCTTGTTTTTTTCCCCTTGTTGATTCGATCTATGCTCTGCCGTATTTGGGAAATCTTGGATGACAGTGAAAGAGCTCGAGCCTTCTATTCCTTACGTTCTGGTCTGTGAACCGGAATATTTTCAAGCTTGCCCAAGTAAACTTTCAAACACATTTTGAGTCCACTTACAGCGCACAGTTTGGAGAAACTTTTCCTGGGTCAATGGCACTGTAGTTACATGATTTCAAACAGAAGAGCAGGTTATAGGGAGGAGAGAAAAAGAAAAGAGCTACAGATGGAATCTCGGTTTCGCACCTCTTTCCGTGTCTCTACGCTCCTCCTCCTCCTCCTCTTCTTCCCGCCAGAAAAGGTCCTCGTGATTCCTGGAGGTTCATGAAGCAGATGTAGTTTTCTAGTATCTGCTTCCCATTTTGCGAGATGATGCCCTCGGGATGGAACTGATTGAGTCGAAGAAGAAAAGAAGGATTGAAGAACACAACTAGAACTTCCTACCTGGACGTGCTTATACTTGGAATGCCGCATGCCCATGATAAGTCCATCTTCCGTCCACGCCGTGATCTCCAGCTCGTCGCTCCTGGCCTTCAAGTTTACAAGGCTGACGCTCTACCACTGAGCTATAAAGGCATTAGTACAATTACAGCTCACTGTCAAGCCAACGAACGTTGTAACATTGATTTGATCCATGTGCTTTCCAAATTCCAGCAGTGTTCTTTGATTTCTCTCAGAAGCCTGTCAAGTAACAAGCTTTTGTTAAATCGATACAGAAGGAAAGTTTACATTGAGAATTCCACACACTGTTGGCCGATGCACGCCAAGCCTAGGCACGGCCTTGCAAGACGCTGCAACGTTTGGCACCAAGACGACGTGAACAAGCTTGCAAAATTACCTTCACCTTTGTTTCTTATAAATGTGAAAAGAATAGATGTCAGAAGTGGGATTTGAACCCATGCCCTCTTGAGAGGAGCAGAACTTGAGTCTGCCACCTTAGACCACTTGGCCATCTTGACATTATGTCTCTATAATACATAATTTGGATTTTTATCAAGCAATGGTTCATTGCATGAAGTACTGGCAATGTAAAGCTTCCAAGCTCCAACCATTGATAATGAGCAAGCATTCACTGCCATGATGTTGTTTCTATTGTTTGCAATTACCACTCTCCAGATCCTTTGCTTTTTCTTTGAGTAAAAGTGAGCTCTTGTCATTGGATAATGGTATTATTGTTCTTGACTTGGCCATGAACCCATCTTGATCATCCATCTCTGGAGGATGCATTGAATTGGTTCTACTGTTGATGATCCTGAACACCACCAATATCAACATCAAGAAGAGGAGAAGAAAAAAAGAATGAATCCCCTCCAAATTCATTATAAGACATTTCCATGGACAATTTAGAATTGGGAGTTTTTGTAATAAGCCCCCGTTAATTTTAGTCACAACTTTGACTTACTAACATGTTGGACATGTCTTTATATATTCCTGAATATCTTTAGCTATGTCTGGTCAGTGATACTTTTTCTTGAGTAACCCATCATCCTAGGCACTCTACTGCATCCCGCCAAAAGTCCATCATAACACTCTTCTAAAACTACTTTCCTTAGTTCCCCTTATAGAACATACACCCTCATCTATTCATAATAAATAAATCCATTGCATTTTGCATAAGTTGTCTTCTCTTCTGTAGGCGACTTGCCTCTTTAGTGAGCATCTAACGCTTCTTAGTTCTTTAGCAACAATTCTTGTGCTAAACCATTGTTCTCATACGTTGTTTGCACATCATTCCAAATGGTTGCTATTGTAGTGCACATGGTTTTGACCTTTTATCCTATGGTGATTTACCATAGGATAACACCATGAAATGGAACCTAAACCCTCTTTATGCCAAGTGACACATGCCACATGTCCAAGGACAGTGGTGTGGAACCTGAGTTTCAAGGCCTTGGGCCATTGAACAAAGGTACAAAGTGAAACTCCTAAGCATGGAGCCAAGGAGTGGCAGAACCGAACCACGGAGCAACTTTCGAGCATACAACCCAATGAGCAAAAAGACAGGAGCATAGAGCGATTTAGAACAGTCCTAGAGCAACCAGCATCCCAATGCCAGGACCAGCATGCAAAACGGAGCTAAATGGAGTCTAGCGCTATTTTGGCATACTAATGTCCTAACGCAAGGATATGGGTACTCCACTAGCTAGCATGGTATGGAGTTTAGGCTTAGACCCAAGCCGGACGTAGTTTAAGGACAGGCACGCAAACGGGAGCTAAACTATGCCTCAGGTTGGTCGACCATACTTGATCTACCCACTATCCCTACTATACATTTGGACCCCCCCCCCCCCCCCCCCCTTGAGGAACACACACTTTGGGCTTCACCCCAAGCCTCCCTTAGTATCAGGAGTTAGTCTCTGGGACAAGCTTGAAACTTACTAAATATGGAATGGCCTTAGATTGCGAATTTAAGCACGGGATGAACACCATTGTGTTCAGGATAATCTCTACATTCCATAAATATGCCAAATGAGAAAATCTAGACACTTCCATAAATAGCATTGGGATCGAATTGAGACTAACACAAAAGGCTTGCTAGCGAGGGTGTTTGGCAGACACGGTAAGCTATCATCTAGCGAATATTGAGAAACCAAGCTCAATATCACAGGGGTTCTTGATACTAGCAAGTGCAAGCCAATGACAAGAGTTTCTCAAACCAGGCTGAGTATGCTTAATAAGAAACACATAGGGTTCCTATCTTATGTTTATCCAATTTAAGTGCATAATCATTGACCAATTTATCAACTAGCTCAAGTGGGAACTGATAATGGGCCTAGCAATACTGACCTCCTGCCATTGTGGCAGTAAGAAAAGAGTGTCTGTAAGGACTAGCCGACAAGTAACTTTTGATACCCGAAGTCATATTTGCGACAATTGTCATGTTGGACATTACTAGCTTTAAGTTTACTTTTTGACTTAGAGCATTAGCTATGATGTTGCTCTTTTTAGGTTTATATAGAATCTCATAATGAAACTCGGCCAAAGCATTAGCCCATCACCCTTATTTTCCTTTTGGATTGGGTTGTGATAAGAAGTGTTTTATTGCCACATTATCTATATAAACTTTGAAGTGCCTCATTGCCACTCCTTAAATGCTTTGACTACTGCAAATAATTTCTTCTCGTAGACAGGCATTTTTGCTGAGTGTTGTCCAACTTCTTCAAGAAGAATACCATTGGATGGTTCTATTACATCAAAATTGCACCTAATGCAAAGTTTGAAGTGTCCGTTTCTACCTCAAAGTTCTTATCAAAGTCTGGTAATGCCAACATAGGAGCCTTCCTTAACTTCCTTTTGATGTGGACAAATGCCACCTCACATTCCACTGTCCATACCATCTTTTTTTTTCCATTTGGTCCATTAAAGG